CCATTAGTGGTATACAAAGAAAGATGAAGCTTAGTGGAGCTGAGTGGGCTTTAGATGGTCTGATATTCAATTTCTGATTCTAGTTAGATGGAGTTTAATAAATTTATTGAATATTTAAAAAAATTGTTTATACCAGAATGTCAAATTATTAGTGCTATTCATATTTTACATCTTGATTGACATGCGTCTCATGTCAGTTTGGCAGCTATATTGCTATGTAGGGAAAAAAATATAATCTTGACTTGTCTACCAGCTCACTCATCTCATATTCTTCAGCCACGAACAGAGGTTTATATTGCCGTGTGAAACAAGTGTGGAAATCAGTTCTTACCAAATATTACAAAAACATAAAAATTCCAAACTTAGGTAAAAAGAACTTTCCTCCATTGCTCAAACAGGTGTATGAGAACGGCAATGGTTCTGAATACACTGGATTATTTCAAAAATCAAAATCAATCAATAAATATTAACTACCTCAGAAACATTTAATCAACTAAAGTCTTTAAAAAAAATTGCCAACATTAAAGAATTACATTCAGATATGATTTCATGTGAAAATGCAAATTGCATGAAAAATTCACTCTGCAACGAAATTTTTTTCCCAAAAAAATTTGTTATGGGTTCAGAACTTTTTTGTTGTAAAAAATGTAAAACTTAAATTTAGGTTATTTCTGTATGCTATGTAAAAATTAGTTTTAGATATAAAAACTTGCCAAATATACATACACACATGCATGTATTTTCTTTGTAAAAGCTCAATAAAAATGAATTTTTTATGATCCAATTTTAAAATTCTAATGACTGAGATAACTTTATGGGGTAATGTTGGGGAAGTGTTGAGGTAGTGTTGGGGAAGTGTTAAGGTAGTGTTGGGGAAGTGTTGAGGTAGTGTTGATCGTTTCAAGTTTATTACTCAGCTTACTTTTTATTTTTAAAATAAATTAAAAGAATTTAAATTTTGAATAAACCTTTTTTATATATTAGGAGTACTTAAGAATTCTGTAGACATCGTTTTTGGTATCAAAATCAAAAAAACTTTTGAACCATTTTGTTATATTCTATTTCAAATGTTAAAAAATTCTGCTTATTGTTATAAAACATTCTAACATTTCTTTATATCTTCCATCTACATTAAAACATATAACACCTGTTTGTACTTTTCCTTGCAATCACCCTCTGAATACAGGCTAATTTTTTTGTAAAATTAAAAAAAAAAACAACCTTTTTTAAATAAAAATTTAGCGTCTTTTAATTTGTGAACAAAAAATGCAGACAAATAATACAGACAAAATGAAAACGCTTGTTTCAAACTTAACAATACAAACATATTTCAACAATTTTAACAATGAAAACAAAAAGTGAAACAGCATTATCAAATTAAAAATTCAGTAGCGAATCATTTTCCGTGGTAGAAAAACGATTGTCCGTACCAGAAGCACATGAATTAAATGTCTTTAAAACACTAGAACGCATTCAATTTCCACATATTAAAAAAACTCAAGGCATTGACCAATTTTGTTGAACCGCTCTAGTCTGAAGCGCTTTTATTTACAGAATTGAATTATTAAGTAAAAAAGTAAGTTATTATTTTTATATATGTATACAAAAAAGCAATGCGCTTGAAATAAAATGCATTATTATAGCACTTGCGTATTGTTTTTGTTTTGCTCTGAATTTATGTCTTTTAAATTTACAAAAATATATACATTAATACTAGATCGAAAAAAAAAAAGAAAAGAAATACCCCATCAAATAGCTGTTTGATGAGTCAAGATTGCGAATAAGCTTCTTTAATTGTGTTTATTTTCGTTTACTCTTCCGTTTATTTATTTATTTACTCTCTTTTTTTTTTTTTTTTTTTTTGAATTTCGTATTATTTATTTTTCTTTACTTTTCAGTAAGAATACTTTTGTTTTGTTTCAAAGATTTATCTTATATACGCAGTATTTTTTAAAAATTGATTTCCACTTTGATGACAAACGATATTTCCATGGTTACATTTGAAGAAAAAACACTTTTCGTTTAAAAAACAAACAAACAAGAACTTGTTTCATACTGATAACTTTATTTGGAATTATGTAGTGATTGATTTTTTACCGTCTGTATTGAAAGCTTTAAGTCAGAATATTTTCTTATGTAGTGTAGCACTACATACTAGTTACACTACATTACACAACCTTATTATGATATGGTAATAGTGACTAGGAAAAGTTTTTATTAAGAGGTATCAGACAAGCGTAATTCATATTGGCATTTTTAACATTTTGTAACGCTTAACAGCTGTCTAATTTACTCCTTTAAATTCAATAAACAAATATAACCAACCTTTTCAATGACCAATCAAAATTTATATCTTTCTAGTTTTGACCAATATGGCGGATAAAATAAAACGTAACTAATGTTTAAACATAAACTAAGCGTCTGATTAACTGACTAAATAATTTAGATTTTTAGATTATGTGGCTAGATAGTGCTCCACCACATATATTGCTCACAAAATTTCGTGTGAAAATAATACCATCATTTTTAAATCGAATTTAAAGCTATTGTCGTTTTCTTTTTAGCATAATCCTAGCAACGCTTAATGTTACAATGAGATATCTTTTTAAAGGATTTTTATAACAAGGAGAGTCATTCTATAAACTTTTTTTATATAAGGAAGTTCGCAGGAATATTATCCTTGAACTACACAAAAATACTTTTGTTAATAAGTTTTTTTGTCTATATAAAAATTACAAATATGCATTTATTCTTTACATTAGTAATTTATAAACGATTACATTTTATGTTTAATAAATAAAATGATTAAATAATTACAAAATATATATTATAACATAATTTATCATTTTATAGAATAAAAAAATAGTAAACAAATAACTCATATATGTATATATATATGTATATATATATATATATATATATATATATATATATATATATATATATATATATATATATATATATATATATATATAATTTTTTTAAATAAAATATAAACATTGTTAGACAAACTTTAAAACAAAAATACGTTACTTAAACCTAATCATTAGATTTAATCTTTAATAAAACCTCGTCTTTACTTAAACCTAATCATTATAATAAACATTTAAACATCTTATTTTTAGAATTTTATTGTGCAAAAGAAAAAAATGTAATTTTAACATAAATAAGAGCTAAAACAGTGATTAAAGTCAGAAAACAAAATTTGCAAAAAATATTACATTTTGATAACAATATTTGAAAATGATGGAAATTTTAAAATACTTCATATGTTTTTATTCTGTAAAATACTTCAGATGTTTTTATTCTGTAGTTCTATAATCATATTAGGATTTTCACTATGCTTAAAAAACAAAAATTGTTTGGTTTTAAAAAATGACAAGATAATTATTAAATAATTTTTTTTTTTTGTACAATATAATTCTGAGAATAAGAAGTTTAAATATTTCTTATTAATAAAGATACAAACTAAGTTGAATAATATTATTTTATGACCAAAGAATAGCTAAAAAATAAAATAGCCAAAAACATCTTAAATAAACAGTAACAAAAAAAGTTTAACAATTAGTTATCATATTCGTGAACAACAAAAAAAAATTGTCGAATAATTAGTTGGTTTATTCATTTATTTGAAATTATTCATTCGATCAATAGAAATATCAAAAAGTTGATACTAGATTAATTTTATTTTAATAAAAACAAAATTTTCATTCACTTAACAATTTAGTCGTAATGTTTATTTAACTTCAGAGATAAATCTTCCTCTTATCTCTTACTAATCTTAGTTTTGAAAGGGTAAAAAAGTTAAAATCGAAAAAAGTTTACATATAAAAAAAAAATTAAAGTATATATTTAAAAAAAGCAAAGAATGTTACACAACCATATAATAATAGATAGAGTTACAATAACAGAAACAGTTTCATTAATAAATCGAAGATCTTTTAAAGTGGGGAAAATAAAAGTAAACATTGATTATAATAGTTCAAATTATGATACCAGTATGAATCTTTCAGAAAATCATATATGAGTTAAAAGAAGTTAAATAGTTATTAAGAGCACGTCTTGAAGATATTTTTTGAAGATATTCTCTGGGGCAACCTCCAGCAAGATCAACCTCGACTGCAAAAAATATTAAAAACTTTTTTTTTTAACTGTATAGGTTGTATGGTACCAAGTATGGTACCAAGGATTATAATAAAGGATTGATTATATATTGATATGATTCGATGGTTTTTCAAAAGTTTTAAATTAACTACTAAGTTTGTTTGAGAAATAAAAAAAAAAAAATGTACACCCCTTGAAGCTTTTAGTTGTTTTTTAAAAGTTGAAAGAGTAGGTATTTATGCGAAAAATCCAATTTAGCTACACTCGACTAAGAAAATAAATTTTTTCATTTTAGGTGACACAAGTGTTAGGTGATACAAGTGTTGACAATAAAACTTACTCAGCAATGATGATAGACAGAAGTGGAATAGGATATATGTTTAACTTTTTTTCATACTTTTAGTTTTTAAATTTTAAATATGTTGTTACTGTTCATACAGCAGCATTAGCAAATTTTTGGTCACTATTTTCTTTAGTCGTGACAAACGTATCTTTAATTATTAATTTCTTAAGTGTAATACAAGCAAAACATTTTGACATTTTGTGAAAACTTTTAATACAACGTCTAGCTCTTAATGATTAGAAGATGATGGATAGCATGGGACGTACAATGCTGAACATCCGTTCTCAATAATTTTAATGTTTTTATCATATTTATAGCGCCATAATAATAAAAAAATAAATTTTTAGCGGAATGTTAATGAATGTTAATCAGAGTGTATGGGCGTGCCTTGTATTTGGCCACACCTTGTACTTGAGCGTGCCTTATACTTATCTATCTATCCATCAAACGTAGTACATATAGGCTTAACTGGTTCCAGTTTTATTTTCAAAAAATATTGTCGGACTTGATGAAGTCTTTGTATTAATTGTTTCCATCCTATGAAACCTTTGTTTTAACTGCTCTGCAGTTGAAACATTACTTTCTAAATATCCAATATTTTTTAAGTATCCAATATTTTCTAAGTATCCAATATTTTCTAAGTATCCAATATTTTCTAAGTATCCAATATTTTCTAAGTATCCAATATTTTCTAAGTATCCAATATTTTCTAAGTATCCAATATTTTCTAAGTTTCTACCCATTTTATTTTTAAATCTTACTTTTTTTATTCTTTTATAGACAGATGAAGTTTTAAATTACTTGACAAAGTAGTTTACGCAAAATCGCACACCTAAGATGTGTTGAACACCTAAGACGTGTCGAACACCTAAGATGGGTTGGTCACCTAAAATGTGCCGGACACTTATAGTGTGTTTAACACCCAAGATGTGTTGGACACCTAAGATGTGTTGGACACCTAAGATGTGTCCAATTTTAAAATAGTCTTGATTACAGATTGCACTGTTTTCTAAAATATTGTCATCGAAATTTTTTTGTATTTTAATACAGACTAAATAGTTTTGGCATTAATCCTTGACAAAAAAAATATTTTTGTAAGAATACCTTTACTTTAAATAAACTTTGCTACGAAGTACGGCCAGGCAAGTAATTAAGAGGGCTCTCCCAAAGTATATATATATATATATATATATATATATATATATATATATATATATATATATATATATATATATATATATATATATATATATATATATATTGCTAAGGTGGGCAGGTCGATTTTCCAAAACAAAAAACATTACATAAAGATAGAAATCACAAGCTAATCAATTTATAATGATTTAAAAGGTATTTAATTTGAACATCAGTTCAAAGTGTAGCAATCACTATTCTTTGAGCATTTTACTTAAAGAATAATCATGAATTTAGAGTATGAAGATGTATATCTTTGAAAGATTGTATCACATTCAAGACTAAAATAGAATTTTTTTAACAGACATCAACATGTATGACTTAAAGTGATCATTTGATAGAATTTTAAAATGTCGTCATGATCAAGGGTAATTTTAAGAATTAAATAAGAGGGTTTATAAAATTGCCGACAGCTTTCTAAAAAACAAAAAACAAAATTAACCGGCTATAATCCTAAAAAACCAACCATAACTTGAAAATCGCCTTTTTTGAAGGAGGAAGAGGGGTGTAACATTCCTGGTCGGTAGAATTCCTGGTCGGTAGAATTGCACCTGGTCGGTAGAATTGCACCATGATTAAATTTAACTATGAAAATGATCTTTTGAATTTAAATTGTTTTACAGAAAAAGTACTGATAGTCTTATACTTTGTATTGTTTTAACTTTATATTGTTATTAAGTTTATGTACAGTGGTCTTCTATTTTAAAGATTCGCAGGTAGTAAATGCAGCCAAAATGGTGTCGAAATTCAGGAATGGCATGAAAAATTTCTTAGCTTCATGACGCATCTTTGCGTCAAAACTTTCTTCACTTATACATGACAAACCTGGATTCAAATTGACAAACACTGCTGAAGATGATTTAGCCAATGTTTCAAATATCGCCGTTACAGCATTTGGTTTATCCAACCACCTTGTTTAACCAATCAATTTTTATTTTTTTAATCTTCTCTATCCTATTTAATCGTTTTATTATTATTATTTTTAATTTTATTTTTACTTGTGAGCTTTAATATAGTTAAATTTCTCTATCTCCATTATCAAAATATAATCTAAAACTGTGTGGGTGTAGTTAAACAAATTCTGCAATTAAATCTTTTTCTACTTGAACACAAAAGTAAAAGACATAATGTAATATTTAAGACTTTAATTAATACTATTAGTACTACTTTTGTATTCACCACCGGTGTGAAGTCTGTTGTTCTAATAACTTAAATCCTGGGTTTGGATGTTTTTTTCCATTCTAGCCAGACCTCAATTGTGAAGTCCACAATTGTATTGATTTGTTCTATAATTGTGGCTGAATCAAGTTGACTTGTTTAATTAGATCTTTTTGTACTAAGAGCACATAGTATATACTGTTTGCTAATTAGGGTAATGAGAGGCAAAAGATACTAGAGTATTAATTTTGAAACCTGATTTAGATATTTTCTTTTAACATTCTATTATAATTCTTTAAAGCATCCCAGAGAGCACAGGAATCCGTAAGACGTCTATACAGAGTCTTATAGAGTTCACAGGTCCGTATGACGTCCTTAAGATGTTCAAAAACGTTCTGTGCCCGCCAGGATGAGATGTAATATTGCAGTGGCTTAATCTCATTTAACACCTACCATCTCATTTAACCCCACGTGGGGTTAATAGTTTTGAAGACTTTTTTTTTCTTAAGTCATTTTTTACGCTGTGGCACAAAAAAAAGGCCCAAAAAAAACAGTCTTAGGCCCCAAAAAGTCCTTATCCGCAACTGTATTGTGGCCAAAATTTTGGGGCTCCTAAAATTGCGGGACCCGGGATTATAGCCATAGATTATATTTTTAAAAATACAAATTAATTTTAGAATGAAATATAGAAGATATGATAA